ATTATGGAAGTCTTTAGAAATGTAAATATACTATTTCTTTACCCAGTCATTAAATTAAGTAATCACGCACCTTGCAGGTTAACTTATAAATACATAAATGTAATTAGCTACTGGCCTGTGCATACGACGAATTGATATACTTATTAGCAAGCTGATTTTCATATTACATTTTTTTACTTGTATATAAATATTGATAACGAAGGCTTTGAACAAAATGCAAATAATTATAGTAAGACAATCATGCACTAATGTATGCAAGTAAAATACATTATATCGTCGCTTTATGTGTCTCGTGTTTTTGACGAACATTCAATTCAAATAAATATAAATGTGTGCAGGTTACTGTCAGATATTGCCAATTAATGAGAAGGAGAAAAAAGGCGATATTCAAAACATCAAAACATCAATACTTTATTAGATTTTTCTTTCACTAAGAAACTTTTATCAATATAAAACTCTGTATTTGGCAAATTGACATTGATCACATGCACATATATCAATACAGGTACATGTATACGAAATGTTCAAGTTAAAATATTTTATATGATGAACAAAGTTCAAAACTTCGTCTTTTTTTCCCCTTCAGGAAATAAGCATCCAATGCTGACATTTTGCATAGGGCCTGTCCGTCTCCCAAACATTTTTTTGGAACATCTTTTGCCCTTAACCGTAGCAGTGTGATGCGATAAATGACTTGTCAAACAACTGCCTTACAACATTTGCGTCCTCTCTGCGGAGATCTAAAAGTCACTTTGTGTAACAATTTGTTTATCATCAAAAATGGCTATGGTATTACGGTCATATGGATTTGATTCCGGGGAACAATAACAAACAGGGCCTATTTGGGTCTTTTCTTTCCCAATGATGCATACCGACGGCAAACAGGTCCCGCAAAATTATGTTCTTCATTTTTGTTTTCAGATCAAGACTGAAATAAATTAATTCAATAAATTTTCTGTCTATGCTCAACTTTTATCAACTGTAGGGCTGTATACATTGGGGCCTAGCTATTGTTTCTAATTATGATGAAATTATATATATTATTATATTTATTTGTTATTGTGTTGCGAAAATTTTCATCATCATTATCATTATTTGCAGAAGCAGCAACTCTTCTTTTGATAGACATAATCGATTTTTTAAAATGTGATATTAGATCTATAAGTTAAAATAAATCTTAATTTTCTTAAAGATACGAACGGTTAAAATGTCATATCTTAGAAAAAATACAGAGCAAGCCAACGGTAGTAATAATTAAATTACTTTTTCTATATTATTTGATCAAACGGTAAGATAGAATCCAGGCCTTAATAGAGCCTGTCCGTCTAATCATTTTCAGAAATGATTGTCCGAGTTAAAGTGACTTATGGAATTTAACAGGAAAAATTCGGACACTTTATATTTTTCTTAATTATTTTTTAAAGAGTTAACATTTTTCCATATAGTTGCATTTTTCTCATAAGGAAAACAAAACAAGATCAACATTTAAAAATATCACATGATTTGCAATCGAAATGATATAATGAGAAGCATTCATTAACGATGGTTCAAATATTCCCGCACGTTGGAAGTCAATCGGATTCGCGAGAGCGTGCGTATGACTGTGTAATACGTCATCAGATTCTGTGCCGACGTATTAGTTACGCACTGACAAGTTGGTATGCTTTTTCCCGCGAAATATTCTTCTTTTTGGAGCGTGTAACACCTAGGTATATGGATAACATGTTTGGGTAGAAGATTAAAGACACGCTTAGTTGTCCGAACTTATGCGATGTCCGAATTTTGACGGATTTACCCTACAGCTTAAAGCAGATTTTAGAATCCGTTGCAAATGCAAAGCAACATGCCTACCGTTCTCTTTCTACAATTTAGTTTTTCATTGTTGATCTTTCACAGAGAGATTGTGAAAAAAACTGAGTGTTCCTTAAAGCAATAACGCTAACTTGTATCGCAATAGTGCACGTCAAATCACGTAGATTTAGTCCTGTCGGAAAATAATATTTTGGTTTCGTTTTGAAGATGTTTAAAGTATTGCTCATTTTATCCTATGTAGTAAAATGTGTTTTATTCTATTTCACAATGGCGAAATTGATAAGAAATATATGTGCTCTCAGTGAGAGAAAGAGTTAAAATAAAAAAAAAACACTTTTGTATGCTATGGAAACGGTTACACTTTAACGCGAGTGTTGTAAAGCTAAAGGTATTTTTTCAGTTTATTTTTGTAAAGAGTAACTGACAAACACTGACTCTCGTGAATGTGACGAATAGGTTCTTCTGTCCTCAAAAGAGAGACTTTTAAAAGGTATATATTTTTTTCTGGAATTGTTGTATAATAAATTTCTATAGAGTTTGATAAACGAAATCACAATTTGAACTTGGAACTTTGCCGTGTAAATCTGATAGTATTGTTACTTAGTTGCATTACTTGTGATTCTCTATTTATAAAAAAGACCCAAAATAGCCATGAATAAGAACGAGAATGGACGCCATGTGGAGTAAACAAAGTAGAAAATAGTAAACGGATAAATGATTTTAAAAACTAACAGCCATCGATCACAGTCAAATTTCTTGAAACAAAACATTCAAAAAAGACGGAAATAACAATGATTATCAATAATTATATAAATATTTACATTAACATCTGTAATAGCAACATCGGCAAGATCTATGACTGGGGTCCATATCATATGCCACTGATGCGTCTATTGAATAATTGATAGCTAACATAAGCTTAGTAAATTTACGATTACATTTGAAGAGTATGTTCAATTTTTTATCCTTCAACTGTCAAATGACTTACTTCTTTATTTACATATAAGATAATTCACTTATTTAGTATATGCGTCATGTTTATCATGTTTTAAATAGATTTTAATGTGTGGTCCTTTTTTGAATCTTAAAATGCTACAAAAATCCTGTTGAGGACATCTGCAGGTCATGCCGCGTGCTATAATCCATGCATTTACAGCCAATGACCACATCGATAAGAAATAGTCCCAAATAGCCCTATCGTTTTCATTCAGTTGAAAGAGACATTATTGTTATAAAGTTCTACTCGATTTAAATGTGTTCAAACCATAAATATTCCGTTACAATGTATATTGGTGAGCTCTCTGATAAAGCTGAGTTGACTGATATAATTAACTAAATTTGTCAGATATGCAGTTTATCAACAGAAATAAATGCAATTATAAAATAGATAGTGTTCAATAGTATGTTTAATAGTGTTCTTAAGTAAACGAAGTTATATCCAGTTCACGAAAAACGGTTACCGTGGGTATGAAAACAGAATGTAAAAATATTTTTTATCAACGAGTGCCACTGTGTTAAAAAGCTGAATCTATCATACTAAAACATTGCTACAGGTTCTTTATATATATATGGTTATACGTATAAATAACTCTTTACAAAAGAATAACCTTTGACTTTAAAATTGCCGCGTTGAGGCGTAACCCTTTTCACAGCATACAAATCGAAGTGATCCTGAATGTGCACGTTCATTGGACAGGCTAGCTAAGTCAATCCGAGCCTGCAACATTTTCAATTTTGCCGTTTTGGGCGATATTTAGGGTTTCTGTTTTCAATTCCACGTTTAGTATTGCTACATGAAACAAATAGATTTTTCATAATCATTACCGTGAAAGAACAATGATTAAAGAGCAAATCAATTTCTTTACAAATGCAGCTAGACAACAATTTTACGACTTTTAAAATCACTTATAGCGCAGCGAGTAAAAATCATTTAAATATTCATTTGTGTTTATGTGAATCGTATAGTAAATAAAATGTTTTTCATGGTTAACATAATTATAGAAAGAGAACGGTAGGCATGCATGTTGCTTTGCATTTGCAACGGATTCTAAAATCTGCTTTAAACTGTTGTCCTTTTTTTTCGACTTGGAACTGGTGCCAGAATTGACAATTGAAGAAAAAGGTAAGATTTATATCATTCATAATAAAAATATGAACATATTTAGGTAGAGTTTTGCTTTCCGTACTCCCGGTTGATGTAAACCTGACTTTTTAATCATGACGTAGACCAGATAACGCCAGAAAACGAAATACCCGCTCTAATACAAGCAACTTCCAAGGTTATGCAAAGTGTTTGATAAAACGGCTTATAAACTGACGAAGATCCAATATTCTGTGGAAAGCTTTTATTTTCCCCCGTAGACTGGTGCATATCCCAAAGAAATTGGTACAAAAATAAAATATTTAGAATCTACGGCTATTTTCTTTTCCGAATCGAGCAACATTTGTCTTGGAAATGATGCCGAAAATGACGTCAATGTCACGTGGTATTGCCACACTGTTACCGGTATAATGAAAATAATGAATTAATATTTATGAAATAAATAATAACATAATAGACTAAGTCAGCTATAACTTTCATTCATTCCGTTGAAATGGGGAGTTGAGATTTTTTAAGAAAATAAACTTATATAATTGTGGCATAATTTTCATAAATGAATAGGCCCTATCTACTTGCAATTTTAGATAAAGATATGATAATAATTGTTGTCAACATTTAAATTTTTAGGGTATTTTTTTATTGTAATTTCATACATCGTATTGTTTGTTTCTTTTTTGTTGTTGTTATTTTTTGTAATTTAATAGCTTTAATGGAGTATGGAGTCTATTAATTTGGGTTTATTTCGGTTCAAAACACAATGATAGGCAAATGTATATTTGGGTAGATCTATATTAAATAAGATGGCTATACCTTTGTGCACGGAAATCCGTGCTTTGTGAAAGTATAAATTGAATTTATAATTAAAACAACATTTTTAGTGTAAAATATTATTGTTAGTAAATTTGGGCGATATTTGGGTATATTTTGGCAATATTTGGCTATTTTGTGCTGCCCACCTTAGGCTTCTTTTCAGGGTTTATTAATTCTATCAAAAATGAATGAAAGAAACCAATCAATATAATAGGTAAGTCGCCAAATACAGTAGTGGTTTAATTCCTGCATAAAGGATCTTCACGTTGCAAAAATATTACGCAGACCGCCTACAATAAAAAGCGTTTCTTTGTCATCAAAATAATATTTTTCATACATTTTTTATTAGAGGAAATGTCGTTGGCATTTGTACCGCCGCAGCAGAAGGGCCCAAAAGGTCCTCCTCCGAACCAAGCCAGTATACAAAAGGTGAACCATTTTCCGAACAGTTTATATTTTTTCAATTATTTGTATGATTGGTTCGTACTTGTACCAGCTCGTACCAAACTAGCAAGTCGCCACGGGTAAACTCTTATAAAAGCCTATTAGGATATAGATTGTTTAGTTTAATAATATAAATTAAAAAAAGTCTGATAGGACTTAATGTTTGAATTTTTTTTCTGCTTAGAAGACATAATCTTCCAATGACTATGTTGTTATTCACTTATTGTCTATATTGATAAATTAAGTTTTATCGTATAAGACTAAATAAGTACCTAATCTCACACCCAACCTATTCTCAAACCTTTCATTCATGTGCTGTTATTTTTTTACTAGAAGTGACTATGATGTCCGTAACTTGTGTGCATAAAAGCTTAGTTTCTGACAGACATGTCTGCTGATGCCAAATGAAAACAGTGCATAGGAATAAATATATACATTACATATTTTATTACTTTGCATAATTTGATACAAATTGCTATAACCTTTGTAAGTCCCGTAAATACACCATTAACTATTGGTGAAAATGAATATTAGAGATAAAAAAATCTTAAAAGCAGGTACCTGCAACGTGTAGGGTACTTCATTGTCATGTGACAGTCATATAACAATCACTTCATTGGATAAACTAAACAGTATAATTTTAGAGATACTTGAAGGGGTTTGAGATTAGGTTCTTACTTTTAAGAGGCCATGTCAGTTTTAAAAAATAGGGTTGTGCTTTTCCAAGATGGAAATAGAGCTTTTTAATTGATGAATTTCAGTCTACAGAAATGTTACATAAAGACAGGGCTATCGATTGACACGGGGATCCGGGTTTTGACTCGTGAAAATGGGGAAATGCACAAATTTGACACGTGATAAAATCTGCTCAAGAGTCAATTTGCCACATGGGATTTTCAGCTATGCAATAATAATTACCTTTAATCCACCCCTAATTACCTATCAAATCCTACTTATGTTCAAATCTCACTCATTAAAAATGTCAACAGGCAGTATAAGCCGTGTATAAAATGCTTTACACACGGCAATTGTTTATACCCTGTGCACTGAAGCGCACAATTCCGTGGCTGCAATTTGACAGTGCTAAAAATAGCTCTACACAACTGATAAGAATTACATACTTGAGGTGTCAATTATTGATTGCTTTTAAAAGTTTATAATACGTCTTTGATTTACTTGGAGTACCTGTGCATTTGTTATTTCTTTTTCCATTAAATATTCCAAGGTACATTTTGGTATTTAAAATTAATATGATATAGCATACCAGTAAAAATAAAAATTTTATATTTTATACATTTAATCAGAAAAGCTGCTGCTTATTTTATTCTTTCACAGAAAATCATTCTTTTTGTTTTATTTGGTTTTTTTAGGTGGAGGAGGGGGGGGGGGGGTATAGATTTTTTCTGTCAATTTAGACTTTGGAATCTCCAAAACTGACATCCAATACAGTCATTTTTGTAACATAAAGATGATTCATGTAGTCAAATGACACTAGAAAAAAATGATTTGACTCATGAATATTTTGGCCAAAGAGTCTTTGACTCGTAAAATTCTGACCCTACTGAGAGCCCTGATAAAGATTTAAGTATACATACGTAAAGAATTTTTATAAATATATATTTTTATTTATACTAAAAGACCTCTTGAATGGTAAGAGGTTTGAGAACTGGTTAGTCCACGATAGATTGAATTTTGTTGAAATTAATTTTATAATTATAAACACTTGCTTTTTTAACACCCAATGTCAAAACTCCAGTTTTTTTTGTATTTTTCCACAGGGTCATATGATACATGCATGTATTAAATGGGGCAGCCTACATGTATTTTATAAAGCATCACATGAACATCGGCAATGAGAGGCTCAGTTTTCCATGACTGAAGTAACTTTTCTGAAATGTTTATTCTACTATGTAATATGTTACATATTTTTTTCAGACATAAAACGGTGACATATTAAGGGTGTAACAGTTTACCGGTATACCAATATATTGCAATATTAAAAAATAAATTTCGTACCATGGTACGATTTTCAGAAAAACAGTATTTTATGTCAGACATATGCTATTAACTCTTGATGCAACTCCATGTCCAAATTCGTCATAATTTGTTACAAAATTAAGCATAAAGTAAAATATGCCCTCACTCTTTTTTCACTTGTTTCAACATCATTTCACATTTTTTTTTCAAATGGGAGGTTACTCTCTAACACATGACAAAACTGTCTAAACAGTAAACAGTATGGTCCGAAAACTGTTTTTCTTCGTTTTCATTGATGTCTGCATCAAATTTCAAATTACGGTGAACTCAGACAAAATTACTGTAAACATTGTTTTTAGCTTGACTATTTGCAGAATAATCGAGCTGATGCAGTCGCCCATTTGTCGGCATCGGCCTCCCTGTGGTTAAGTTTATGCATGTAAGCAAGGATCTCCATAACTACTGAAGGGAATGAATTGAAACTTCACACATCCCTTCTCTGTGATTATCAAACATAATTGGCACAAGTTCCATAACTCTGATTTGCTTTTTTGCATAATTATGTCCCTTTTTTGACTTAGAAATTCTTGGTTAAGTTTTTGCGTGTAAGCAAGTCTCTCCATAACTACTGAAGGGAATGGATTGAAACTTCACACACTTGTTTTCTGTGATTATCAAACATAATTGGCACAACCTTATACATGTTACTCTGATTTGCTTTTTTGCATAATTATGCCCCTTTTTCGACTTAGACATTCTTGGTTAAGTTTTTGCGTGTAAGCAAGTATCTCCATAACTACTGAAGGGAATGTATTGAAACTTCACACACTTGTTCTCTGAGATTATCTTACATGATTGGCACAACCCCATAAGTCCTGATTCGTTTCTTTTTTCAAAATTATGCCCCTTTTTCGACTTAGAAATTCTTGGTTAAGTTCTTGCGTGTAAGCTGGTATCTCCATAACTACTGCAGAGAATAGATTGAAACTTCACACCCTTTTTCTCTGTGATTATCTTACATGATTGACACAAGTCCCATAACTCTGATTTGCTTTTTTTGCATTATTATGCCCCTTTTTCGACTTAGAAATTATCCTTGATTAAGTTTTTGGGTGTAAGCTGGTATCTCCATAACTATTGAAGGGAATGGATTGAAACTTCACACACTTGTTCTCTGTGATTATCCTACATGATTGTCACAAGTCCCATAACTCTTGATTATTTTTTTTTCATTATTATGCCCCTTTTTCGGCTTAGAAATTCTTGGTAAAGGTTAATTGCTTGTAAGCTGGTATCTCCATAACTGCTGAAGGGTTTGTGCCTTTTTTTGGACAATTTTATGCATTCATTATGATAAAGCAGTGATTTACTTGATAAAACATCTTAATAACAAGCCTTTGTACCTTTTCGGACAATTTATGTATTTATATAGGTAAGCATTATTATACCCAATGAAACACCCTTTTTGACAACTTTTCGAATATTCGAGCATTACTGTCCTCGGACAGTTCTTGTTTTGTTTTGTTGAACTTGGTGAAAAACATTACATTTTCAGGGATCAAATTTTTTTTTAAAGCTGCTTGTTTTTTGGGCACAAATTTCAAAATTAATCTCCCCAATGCAATAGAACCCCGCCAATGCAATCAACCACTTGAAATTTTCATAATCAGTTTGTTTACACAAATTTAACGAGCCAAAACCGGAAACAAAACTTTGTTTAAGTTATGTATAAATAGCGCACTTTATAGAGCATTGTCTGGCACGTTCCAGTTACACCCGTATCCAATTAACAATGCATATGATAAAGTGTGCAATTTATACATCACCTTAAAACACAAGCTATGTTTATGGTTTTCCGTCATTATAAGTGAACAAACTGATTATGAGAATTCTAGCTTCCTATTACATTGGCAAGTTTTCGCTCATCCTATGGGACGAGCATTCTGCCATTTTGTACTTATCCTGCATCGATCTCTGCTTGAAAATACAAGTGGACGAGTGGAATTTTCGATCCCTGCATTTTGACACACACATACTGCAAAATATTGGGACTATGATTGTGGATAACAGAGATGACAATAATGCCATTAATGGTGTTGAATGATACAAGACAGTCAAGAGATATATTAAATATGTTCGTTCCAGGGATTTTTACTTTGTCAGTTGTCTACTCATTCTGTTGTAGATTCTATCCATAAATATGAGACAGTGGATGAGTTGAAATAAAGAACCACTAGGCCCTACTGAACAGTGCATAACACATACATAAATAATATTTAGAGACTCTGTTTATCAATGGAACATTTATTTCTTTTTGTTTGGGTTTTGTTAAACATATGCTAGCATGTTATTATGTTATTTCAAACGGTTTTAAAATTTGTGTTACATTTAGATGCTTGATGAAAATAGCCAGCTGATCCAGACCATATCAGAGTACCAGAGTAGAGGGAAAGCTTCAGAATGTGTTCAGTAAGTATATTTATTTCTATATATAGATGAGATTATCAACCTCACTTAATCATAACTGGGTGCTCTTAGACTGCTTTCTTTAAATCACTTAGTTACAGCATCATATCTCATCTCATGAACAACTAAAGATAATTGCCTTTGATTTCTTACAGATCATAATAACAGTCAGTGTACAAAGCCCATAACTCTAGCATGGATTTTGACAGAATTATGTCCCTTTGGGTTCTTTAAAAATTATTTGCTTTATTTTTGCTTGCAACATCATTCTTCAAAAAAAATCTGCATGCGACACCAATCTTCAAAAACTGTTAGTCACTTGAAACTTGTAATGTAACTCCTGAATAGTAATTGGAGGTAATTGTCTAAGGTCTATAACTCTTGACATAGATTTTGACCGAATAATCATAATAATGGCCCTTTGTGAACTTAGAAAATTAAATTCTTCATAAAATGTATTGCATGCAACATTATCTACAAAACTGCTGAAGGTATTGACTTAAAAATAAATACATGTCCTTGTGACCACTATTATATGCAAGGACATGACCACTATTATATGTCACTTTCTAAGGCCCATCACTCTGACATAGATTATAACTTATCATGGCCTTTTGTCAACTTAAATAATATTGGTTTATTTTTTTTTGTGTGCAATGTTACACATGTAACTCACTTCAGTCACTTGAAATTTTATTTTTGTTTTGAAATTTTAATTGTTAGTCACTTTTAAAACCTTTAACTCTCGCATGGACTTTGAATGAAATATGGCACTTTGTTAACATACAAAATTCTTTGGTCAGAATCGAAAATTCTTTCATCTTTTTTTTTTTTTAAATTCCTACATTTTCTGGGCTATTGTTTTACTATTAATTAAGTGTGCTGTCCAAATGACAGCTGTTATTTATACTATAGAAAATGTTAAATAAAACATTGATCTGTTGTCACTGAGTTTGCAAACTGATGTATATATTGCAATTTTCAAATATATAAAGATATAAAATGTCAGATCTATTAGTTTATATGTACATAGTTTTACTCTCTTTTTCTTTCAGATATCAGCAGATGTTGCACAGGAACCTTGTTTATCTAGCAACTCTTGCTGATGCTAATCAAAATGTCCAGTCACTGTTACCTGTAAGTATATGTCATAAAACTTTTTGGGAATCAGGAAGATCATTATTTGGTAGTGTTTTTATGCTACACAGGCTGCTCATTTGAAGTTACAATGTCATATTAGCTTAAATCAGCAAGCTAGATACATAATGATGGAAACCCTAGATGTTACTTACATTGTACATCTGATATAGAAGCAGGCTATTTATGTACTCTGATTCTAATTACTGTACAGCTTAAGTATATGGTATTATATGTACATCATAAACTCATGATTATTTTTCTATGCATTTTCATGTCCAATCAGGGCCGGCAAAATCAATTGTCCGAGTTGCCCGAGTCGTAAAATTGTAGGTCCGGGCAAGTAAAATTCTGCAGTTTACTTGTCCGTGGACAAGTAAATTTCGGCGGCTAAAAGAGGAATTCTGAAGAAAAAAATCTAGTTCTTTTCTAATAGATCTAAATAAGAAGGAAAAATCACACATTTAATACGAAAACTAGCATGTGAAGTGTGGTGTCATTCATGAGGGCATTCCGTGCATATTAGGGTGTTACTATTTTAAGTGTTTACATAAATAGCGACCAATCAGGCTTGGGGTTTTCCTTACGTCATGCAGTTACTGCATGCGCGCGGCAATTAACTAATTATTGAACGTATCAAGGTCACTATGTGGGGTACATGTTTGTTTTGGTTTATGACCGCCGACTTAGCTTCTGCAATAAAATATTTTCGGTAGCAACGGGAATTCTGCCATTAAATTGACTTGGAAGCTGTGGTCTTTTCAAGCGCATTTATTGTTTAGATAGCAGATACAGCATCAATCTCGCAACAATTGTCTTTGAAATACCGCTGTGTTGTATGAAAATTAAATACATTGTATAGCTTTTCCAGGTCATTTGGGAATATTTACGCTCACATCGGCAATTTGACTGCTTGAATTTATGTGGACAAAGTCATTTTATAATTTATTTTATGTAAAGATTTCTTGTGAAAATGCCTTTGTTTTTTGAATGTCTAATACTGGTGTTAATGTAAACATGTCAGTTTCATCGTCGCCGATGATAATGATGTCAAAATTTTCACAATTCATCTGCTGCAACCAAGGGTATATACGTATATGATATTACATTCTGTGGCAATCATAATTATATCGTTAAAAAAAGCCAGATGTCATCAATTTGACAAATCTAACTCAAGAGTACATATGATTTTTTAACAGGATTCAAATGAATATTATGTAGATGAATAGAATAAGGAGTGAATAAATAAGAAATGGTACCAGAGTGCAAAAAAATGAAGACAATACTTTAGAGCAATTTGGGTGCAAGGAAAACTGAAAAAGTACTGGCAAAAGACCAATGCTCCTTCCAGTAAAATATACACAATTTGTCCATCACTGTCATTCTAATTTAATCTACTGCCGTTAATATTTTATAAATATATTATATTACAATCATAATATATTATATTATTAAACATATGGCACAGAATGTTTAATAAAATTGAAAGAAAGTTCATAATCATATTGCTCTTCTTTATTGACATTTGCAGTAATTATTAAATATAAATACGGACAAGTGAACATTGAGTACGGACAAGTAAATTTCTTAGGTTACTTGTCCGTGGACAAGTACAATTTTCTGAGATTTTGCCGGCCCTGCCAATATAGATCAAATTTAGCTTATTGAGACAAGGAACAACAGAAATTTTTAAAGTTTGTACTACAGTCGACTGTCGTTATCTCGAAGTCATCGGGACCGTCCAAAAAATATCGAGATAACGAAATGTCGAGATAAACATATTAGGGTTTGAATAAGGCAGAAACTGATTTTTACAAAAGACATGTGTATACCTTATGCCAAATGAACTATGATATCCCCATGTCTTGTTTTCATAGGCCTAGGCAATATTTAACAAAGTAACAATAGCGGATGTTAACCAGTGAAAATACGGGTTTCTGTAATAAAAACACATAGTGAGGCTTACTCAGTAATACACAAATATAGTGAAAACATTGTTTTCAGGGTGGTTGATCCGGATATCCTCCCGGGTTATTTATTGGGTCTTTCTCGATGTTGTTCCACCGCTGATTGATTTAGTGGTGATGTTGTGAAACAATATTGCAACGATAGCGTTTCTATACTTTCACTATTTCATTTACATTTTAAAGTCATAATGAATTGATACAGTGTTCGAATATTTATAAAGAACGTAAAATTCATTCATTTTGGACATAAGTCAATCAACACCCTAAATAGATTAACTTTTATTATAACAGCTAAACATGTTACAAACATAATCATCATTACAACACGCGCTATTGAGCAATTATCGTCTAGTATGTGTTTTTCACACGTCTGAAGGGAACAGACGAAAGAAAACTATTACTCGAGATAAACAAAGGATAATAGTGTGAAAATAACTGTTGGGGCTGAAATTGTACATCGAGATACTGAAAATATCGAAATAAAAATATCGAGATAAACAAATATTTCCAATAAAGAAAAAGAAGGAAGAAAATCGGGACTTTCAAAATTTCATCGAGATAACAAAATATCGAGAAAAGGGATGTCGAGATAACGATAGTTGACTGTATTATAATGAATATCTTAAAACAAAAAGTGACTGTTCACTGGTTTAAACAACTCTACTGACTTGTGATTCAAACAAATATTTCAGGCACCTAATCAGAACACTCCGGGGCCTTCACCAAACCCCCAGATGAACCAGATGAGGTCACCGTCAAATATGCCTCCAAATCAGATGAATCAAGGTAAAATAATAAAAAATTAAAAAATATTTTATTATCAACCTACCTACCCTATCAAAATTGGTGTGGGTCAAGGGAGAAGGCCTGCCTTATTTTCTGTAGTGACAGTAAATTGAAGCCTTACAGCCAGCGAAAGGCTTAGATTAAATTTTACTGTAGTAATCTGTTGTCAGTAAAGATTTTGGTGTTAGAATGGTCATTTGATGTTTCAATTACTCTACTTGACAAGTTATTTTTAAAACAATCTTTAAGTTAGTGTGAGTATTGTTATATCAGATTTGCACAAATGATCTGTTTATAGTAAATTTAGGTGTTTGAAAAAGGTACAAGTAACTGAAAGAGAAAAACCAAATCAGTTTTGAAATAAAATCTGGCACTTAAGGTGTATAATTGTATGGTAACATGATTATTATTTGAACTTGGACAAAATGAAAAAAATAAGGCATTTCAGTTAAGAATTTCTATTTTGATAATTTGATAAAACGACAAAGTAAATTGTGTCATTAAGATATTAGGATAGTACCAGATATTTGTAGTACATTTTAAGTTTCTTGAGCAGTTCCTTAGAAATCTTTTTATTTTATTTCATATTTAATAAAGGGCGCATGAATCCAATGAATGTCCCTACGTCTCAGCAGTATTCCCCCATGGGAGCCCCACAGCAACAAGGTATGGCTAGTGGGGGCTACTCACAGGGGTCACAGCAACAATATGGGGATTGCTCGGGTCACGAGACTGGAATGAACCAAACGTCTTACAGTGAGTTACAGTGTGTCACCATACTTGTAGCTGGCTTGTTTGTCTTTGGTGATACAGTGCAATCTCTCTTAATAATATGAGGTGCCATGATAAAACCAACATAGTGCTTTTGCGACCAGCATGGATACAGACCTGTCTGCGCATCCGGGTCCATGCTGTTTACTTACAAACACTATTACAAGTAGAGAAACTGATAGCGAAAAGCATGGATCCTGATCAGACTGCGCAGATGCACAGGCTGGTCTGGATCCATGCTGTTCGCAAACGCACTATGTTGGTTTTGTTATCGCGCGGCTCATATGTGAATAATCTCTGTTAATAATACTTGAATGTCAAAGAGAAAATGACGTCTTTGCATTGTTGAAAAGTAACTATGTGCTTTCTAAAAATTGTATGGCAATAGATAGCATTATAAATATGTTGGTCCTTAAAGTATTTATGATTGTTATTTTTATATTTGGCCTCTCATTCTTGATTTCTAATTCACTTAGTTTTTTGTGTATATTTAATTATCACAATTATGAATTCTTTTCATAACATAACAATATATTAAATCAGTAACAATGTACTGTTGAAAAATTACCAATACTCTACTTTGTCACTTTAATGTTTTAAAAATTAACTATTACAAAAGTTTAGGCAATGTAGGTATATTCAATTTAAAGGGAAGCAACCTATTGAATCATTTAGTAAAGAATATATGTTAAAAAAAAATCCTACATGTTCTCAAAATTAGTAAATACTTCATTCAACAATGTGGTCTGTTGTAATTTATATTTTCTCTAAAAAATCACTTATTTTATAAACTGTTATGATACAAAAATTGATCACTTAACGGAGATTGCACTGTATTCTGCTCTATTGATATATTTACTGAACAATTAAATGTTCGAAGGTAGAGTTTTGTGATGTCACTTGTTTCAGAATTTTGTTTAATGTTCTCATAGTAAACTACTGGATAGTTATAAAAATATCCTCAGATGGTGCTCAAAAATAGTAGGTAATTACACCTAAAATTTGCAATGCTTAGAAACTATAATAACCCAGTTCCAAGCTATTATACCAATATATGTTTCATTGTTCACTTATTTTTTGCAAAAATTACATTAGTTCACCTTTGGCCCTTAGGTATCACTTGTATGACATTGTAGCATGTTTTCAAGACTTTTACAAAAGATTTGAGTCGTGCCATGACAAAACCAACATAATGCGTTTGCGACCAGCATGGATCCAGACCAGCCTGCCCATCCGCGCAGTCTGATCAGGATCCATGCTGTTCGCTTACCAACCCTATTACAAGTAGAGAAACTGATAGTAAACAGCATGGATCCTGATCACACTGCACGGATGCGCAGGCTGGTCTGGATCCATGCTGGTCACAAACCCATTATGTTGGTTTTGTTGTGACATGGCTCATTTGTAAGTCTGGTCCCTTGGATACAGGTTTTAGGGTATTGCTTAGCAGGAGACTGGGTGATACAATTCAACTTCACAATACATGCACTGCATGAAAAAAGTAAAGTAATAAAATAATCTGTAGTCACCATCAATTGCTGTAAATCACAATGTAAAAAGATCACTTTCCAGCATCAATGCTTGTGGTGTTTGAATTTGATTTTGCAACTATATTAATCATAAAAAAAATCTTTAAAAATCTATCCCTTATCATGATTAAGCAGTTATGAAAAATGTCCTTACAGTGTTATGACTTTGAGATGAGTCAAAAAAACATTTGTTTAAGTTGGAAATAAAGAACTTGTTTGATATTATATGACTTGTGATTATACCCCCACAAACGAAGTTTAGGGGGGTATATAGGAGTCAGCTTGTCGGTCGGTCGGTCGGTCGGTCGGTCGGTCCACATCATGGTTTCCGGACGATAACTAGAGTTTGGAATGAGGTATTGTAATCAAACTTGGTATATAGCAACCTTATGTGGAAACTCCGGTTGGTATTGCATTTGGACCCCCTGGGGTCAAGGTCAAGGTCAACGTTACTAAAAATAGAAAAATGGTTTCCGGACAATAACTAGATTTAGGAATGAGATATTGTTATCAAACTTTGCGTATAGCAAGCTTATATGAAGACCTGGGTTGGTATTGCATTTAGGCCCCCTGGGGTCAAGGTCAAGGTCATGGTTACTAAAAATAGAAAAATGGTTTCCGGACAATAACTTGAGTTAGGAATGAGATATTGTAATCAAAATTGGTGTATAGCAAGCTTATATGAAGACCTGGGTTGGTATTGTATTTGGACCCCCTGGGGTCAAGGTCAAGGTCACCGTTACTAAAAAAAAAAAAATGGTTTCCGGACAATAACTAGAGTTAGAAATGAGATATTGTTATCAAACTTGGTGTAAAGCAAGCTTATATGAAAACCACGGTTGGTATTGCATTTGGACCCCCTGGGGTCAAGGTCAAGGTCACCGTTACTAAAAATAGAAAAATGGTTTCCGGACAATAACTTTAGTTAGGAATGAAATATTGTAATCAAACTTGGTGTATAGCAAGCTTATATGAAGACCTGGGTTGGTATTGTTTTTGGACCCCCTGGGGTCAAGGTCAAGGTCACCGTTACTAAAAATAGAAAAATGGTTTCCGGACAATAACTAGAGTTAGGAATGAGATATTGTTATCAAACTTGGTGTATAGCAAGCTTATATGAAGACCTGGGTTGGTATTGCATTTGGACCCCCTGGGGTCAAGGTCAAGGTCACCATTCCTAAAAATAGAAAAATGGTTTCCGGACAATAACTAGAGTTAGGAATGAGATATTGTAATCAAACTTTGTGAAAAGCAAGCTTATTTGGAGACCCCAGTTGGGATTACAATTAATTGAAATATTTCTTTGTACACAGTTGATGGTTTGTGTTGAAATTTTTTTTCAGACTACTTATTTTTCAAAAAGTTGCTGGTGGGGGTATTAATCACCTTCAGTGATAGGTCTAGTTTCACTTATACATGTTTTAAAATGTTGAATTGTATATGCATGCATGAAATGCACATGGATATCTTTATAAATTCATATTTAGAAAGGTTAAGCTTCCTTAACCCTTTCACTGCCATTGGGACGGTTTATGCCTTCCCTGTTATTTTCGGCGTATTTGCCATATGGACGGCTTTAGCCATTTCTATAATAATAATAGTAATAATAATAAATCAATAATAATAATAATAAAAATAATAATCAATATAAAGAAAATTATACCATTGACAATAATTATTATTATACTCACAGATTTGGAAACACATATAATTATTATAATACTAATAATAAATAATAATAATTATATTAATTAATAATATAGTCATTTCTTAGAAAAGCCTCTGGCAAATAGGTGATCAATAAAACAATAACCCTCTGGCAGCGAAAGGGTTAATGTATAAACAAATTGCATAGAAATAGCTTTTGAAATTAAAAGTCTTTGCAAAACTTTAGAAAGAAAATATACAATTTATCATTTAATAAGCATGTGTTTTAATGCTGTAATGTTAGAACTAAGAAATTCTGTTTATGAAATTTAAATTCACCATATTTTTAGAAATGTGTGTCTTATGCAGGTTTGACTAAATACAGTAAAATAAATGCTTAATTGGGGATTTCCAGATATTTTAATTGCAGACCACTCATTATAGAATCATATCATAACATTGGGGTTCTTTCATTATATCATTTATTTAATTTTTAGCTCTGTGATCGCTTTTCGTCCGGCGTCCGGCCGTCGTCCGTAAACTTTTACTTTAAATGACATCTCCTCATAAACCACTAAGCCAATTTCATCCAAACTTCACAGGAATGTTCCTTTGGTGGTCACCTTTAAAAATTGTTCAAAGAATTAAATTCAATGCAGAACTCTGGTTGCCATGGCAACCGAAAGAAAAAACTTAAAAAATCTTCTTTTAAAAAACCCTAAGAGCTAGAGCTTAGATATTTGGCATGAAGCATCTTCTAATAAGTGTCTACCAAGTTTGTTCAAATAAAAGCCCTGGGGTCAAAATTGGCCCCGCCCCAGGGGGTCTTTGATTTTCCCTATATGCATATAGTAAAAACTTAAAAAATCTTCTTTTAAAGAACCCAAAGAGCTAGAGCTAAGATATTTAGCATGAAACATGTTCTAATGAGTGTCTACCAAGTTTGTTCAAATAAAAGCCCTGGGGTCAAAATTGGAACCGCCCCAGGGGGTCATTGATTTTCCCTATATGCATATAGTAAAAACTTAAAAAATCTTCTTTTAAAGAACTCAAAGAGCTAGAGCTAAGATCTTTAGCATGAAACATGTTCTAATGGGTGTCTATAAAATTTGTTCAAATAAAAGCCCTGGGGTCAAAATTGGCCCCGCCCCGGGGGTCATTGATTTTCCTTATATGTGTATAGTAAAAACTTAAAAAATCTTCTTTGAAAAAAAAAAATAGCTAGAGCTTAGATATTAAGCATGAAACATCTTCTAGTAAGTGTCTACCAAGTTTGTTCAAATAAAGCCCTGGGGTCAAAATTGGCCCGCCCCAGGGGGTCTTTGATTTTCCCTAAATGCATATAGTTAAAGCTTAAAAAATTTCTTTTAAAGAACCCAAAGAGCTAGAGCTAAGATATTTAGCATGAAACATGTTCTAATGGGTGTCTACCAAGTTTGTTCAAATAAAAGCCTAAGGGTCAAAATTGGCCCCGCCCCGGGGGTCATTGATTTTCCCTATATGCATATAGTAAAAACTTAAAAAATCTGCTTTTAAAGAACTCAAAGAGCTAGAGCTTAGATATTAAGCATGAAACATCTTCTAGTAAGTGTCTACCAAGTTTGTTCAAATAAAGCCCTGGGGTCAAAATTGGCCCGCCCCAGGGGGTCTTTGATTTTCCCTATATGCATATAGTTAAAACTTAAAAAATTTCTTTTAAAGAACCCAAAGAGCTAGAGCTAAGATATTTAGCATGAAACATGTTCTAATGGGTGTCTACCAAGTTTGTTCAAATAAAAGCCCTGGGGTCAAAATTGGCCCCGCCCCGGGGGTCATTGATTTTCCTTATATGTGTATAGCAAAAACTTAAAAAATCTTCTTTGAAAAAACCCGAATAGCTGGAGTTTAGATATTATGCATGAAACATCTTCTAGTGAGTGTCTACAAAGTTTGTTCAAATAAAAGCCCTGGGATCAAAATTGGCCCCGCCCCGGGTGTCATTGATTTTCCTTATATGTGTAAAGCAAAAACTTAAAAATCTTCTTTGAAAAAACCCAAATAGCTAGAGTTTAGATATTAAGCATGAAACATCTTCTAGTAAGGGTCTACAATGTTTGTTCAAATAAAAGCCCTGGGGTCAAAACTGGCCCGCCCCAGGGGTGTCATTGATTTTAACTATATGTGTATAGTAAAAACTTAAAAAATCTTCTTTTAAAAAAACCCAATGAGCTAGAGCTTAGATGATTAGCATGAAACATCCTCTTATTGGTGTCTACCAAGTTTGTTCAAATAAAAGCCCTTGGATTAAAATTGGCCCTGCCGGGGGGGAGGAGAAGAGGTGGGGGGGTAGATCGTTGTTTTTCATTATATGTGTGTAGTAAAAACTTAACATCAACATCTTCTAATGGGTGTCTTCCAAGTTTGTTCAAATAAAAGTCCTGGGGTTTAAACTGGCCCTGCTCCGGGTGCCTTTATACAGGTGAGCGACCTCAGGGCCATCATGGCCCTCTTGTTTAGTGTTTTATGGTTTGAACCTTGATGAAATGTTTAAGGAGAAAATGTGAGTGGGAAATTAAACTTTTTTCAGTTAAAAAGAAAATTTCAAGCAAGAGTGATGTTTAATCATTATCAACTACATGTGTAGTAGGAAATTAAGTAAACATAATCTTGCATCATAGTTATGAGGATAAGGATAAAGAAAATAGTAATTACTCTCCTTGTACTTTCATGTGTGTTATTTTTATATACAGGTCAATCCATGGGTAACCAAGGTCAGATGAATAACCCTTCATACAATCAGCAACCACCAGGGAATCAGAGTTTCCCCAATCAGCAGACTCCCATGCCACAGAGTCAGCCCAATCAAGGCATGATGCCACAGCAAAATCAGCCTATGATGTCACAGCCAGGAAGCCAGCCACCAATGTCTCAAAGCCAGCCTATGATGTCACAAAATCAGCAAACATCACAGCCAAATCAGGCCATGATGTCACAAAGTAATTCAACAATGTCACAAAATCAGACATCCATGTCACAAAGCCAGCCAATGTCAACTGGACAACCAATGATGTCACAAAGTCAGCCTATGATGTCACAAAATCAGCCAATAATGTCACAGAACCAGCCTATGATGTCACAAAATCAGCCAATGATGTCACAGAATCCACCTATGATGTCACAAAATCCCCCAATGATGTCACAGAATCAACCTATGATGTCACAGAATCAGCCAATGATGTCACAGAATCAGCAGATGATGTCACAGAATCAGCCAATGATGTCAGGCTCCCAAGGTGGCAACCAGATGATGGGATCTGGCCAGATGAGACAGCAAGGACAGCCTGGACAAGGGATGTTTAAGAGGCCTCAAATGCAAGGTAAACTATTTTGATAAAACTGGTGATAAAAATGTTAAAAAATATTGTGCAGTCTTCAATATACTAAATTGACAACTCTTAAGTTTCTTTAGGTTCCTAACAACTGAAGACTAATAATTATTTTATAACTAGTTGTATTAGCTCTTAGCACTCTGGGTAGGGAAATAATAGAAACTATATGAGGTTGATTGGCACCTGATCTCTTCAAACACCAATAATTCTGCAATGTTACCATACAGCCATATTGTATCTAGGAACAAATTTAAACAAAATAAAAAAGACAGTATATTTAAGTCGTTTATTCAAGCCATTATTTTAGTAGAATCAAGTTTCATTACATTCTTTTTATAGGTCCGCAGCCTTATAGTGGAGGCCCAGGTGGTAGTTATCCTAACCAAGGTCAATATGGTGGACAGGGTAACTACGGACCTGGAGGTCAAGGTCAAGGAGGTTTCCCACAAGGGCAAGGATATAATCAAACAGGGTCAAAAAACAGTAGGGTTTTAAAGAAACCCCTGGGCAACGGGGTTTTGGGCTACAATGGGCCCCCGGGAAAAGGGAAACCAAGGACCAATGCAAGGTTGGAACAAAAAATAAATAAGTTCCTAAGTTGAAGTCTTTTATAATGCTATTGTTTTCTGAAAGAGGTATACACAGAGTTAATGATAACCTTTGAAAACCTTGCATGAAATAGCTTAATATGTGACAGACCATGTTATTTAATTTTCTTCTTTTTTTTTTGCTTTCAGGTCCTATACAAGGAGGAGGTGGTCAGATGGGAGGACCCATTCAAGGGTCACAGGGTCAGCAAGGTCAGATGGGAGGTCAAGGTCAAATGATGCCACAAATGCAAGGATCTGGCATGATGGGTAATCAGATGCAAGGTCAAATGGGTAATATGGGTGGACCAATGCCAAATCCGGGGTCAATGGGAGGTCAGATGCCAAACCAGCCTATGGGAGGTCACATGCAAGGTCAACCAATGGGAGGACAGATGCAAAGCCAGCCCTCAGGAGGTCAAATGCCAAATCAGCCAACATCAGGCAATTAGACATGAAAATGTTGAAAACTGTTCAATTAGTTATAACTTCACTGTATCAGTGATTGTCAGTCAAAGTAAAGACTAATTTAGATATTTTTATAGTTATATATACTCACCTGATATATTGGGATCATTTCCTATATTCACTTTTGGGATGTTTACACACTTGATATTTCATTTGTTGTAATTTTCAGCAAATTTAATCATGGGAAGTTCAAATCCTGGGTGAAAAATTACCCAAGAGGTAAAGTCGAAGGATATTATGATATTGTAAAGAAAGAATTTTGATAGATTCTTAATGTATCTTGCATAAATCACGAAATAGAAAGAAATTAAGTCTTTACTTAAATTTAAATGAACAATAATCTTATATTTTTAAATATTTGCATTTTCACTTATTTTAAATATATTCATATGTATTTTAAATGAATTACAATATTATAGTTGTTGTCCTGAGAAAAAGAGTATGTTTCAAACGAGTGTTTGTACTGTTGTATGATTTAAATGGCATGCTAATATGGTTGAATCTCTTTCCAAAAAAATTTCATTATCCTTTCAAATCACATATTAAAGCAATAAATGATGGACACACAATATTGTGCTGTGAAAGATGACATCCATGGAAACTTTTGAGTTATTTATCAATCCACTGAATGTAGGTCAAAGTTTGAGTTATTTATCAATCCTTTTAGTCTAAATTAAGGTCAAAGTTTGAGTTATTTATCAATCCACTGAATGTAGGGTAACATATATTTTTTCAACATCTATCTCTGTATATGTTAGACTATTTGATATACATGTAGTTCAATAAGCATGCCTTTGTTGCATTTTGTTGTATAACATTTAATACCACCTGATACTGGAATATTTTACAAGTGCTGGTGTCCTTGGCCATAAAATCTCAGCTGTTTGAACAATGGCAATAAGCCACATTGTCAGCTTTTAATAAACCATTGTGTGTTCATTTTATTTTGTTGTTGAAAAAGTTTTTGTTCTTTGTTGTTCAAGATAAATGCCTGTAATTTATCATGGTTATGAAAGTTATTAGTTAAAGTTACACTAAATAAATATGTAAAAATATTTTGCCGGCGGTCTAAAAACCAAGCATTCTACAGATTCATTAACCTTTTTAACAGTCTTGTTGTAAATCTCATCAAATATTGTTCATAAATAAGGATTTTAAACGGAAAACCCCACGGTAACACTAAAGTTCGTATACGAATTTTAACATGCAAATTAAGATTATAATCAGCTCGTATATGCGTTACGTCACAATGTTATAACTGCTATCCGGAACACAACAAATATGAGATTTTCTTGTGCAAACACATTTTTACCATTTAACTTCACGGTGCACTAGGCCCGAGGTTCAGTAAAAAGTAATCATCTCATAAAAAAAGATTAAATTTGTATGAAAACATCCGTTACAATGCAGAAATATACAATTAAATTAGGACGGCTACTTATAGTCATGTTTGTTGATTTAATATTGATGTACGGATGATCAGAAGGCGGAGTTTCTCATGCAAACAAATATTGTACTTCCGATTTCGCCACAATGAGGTTGTCCATTTTTTATGCTTATAAAACACATTTTGGTTGTCTGGACACCAAAATAAGATCTGGAGTCGATATGAAACCCAATTTATCAATGAAATGTCGCTATTTCTGTTTTTATGAAATTTATTTAATGTAACTTTAATATATTACCAATCATGTCTATGTCAGAGATTTCTTTCAATTTAAACGCAACACTTTTCATTTTAGAATAGTGTTTTGTGTATATCTTAAAGTATTTTGGTTTGGTGTCAAAGTTGGAAAGAATTATGATGCTCCCCTAATAGTTAATACAAAATGTGGTTGCAAATGTTTAAAATTTTAAGACCTCATTTTTTCCAAGTACTTAAAGAATGGATGTAAGTAAGTTTAGAAATTATTTCTAATATAAAATTTTAAAAAAATGTAAACTAATTTAAAAATTGCAGCACTTTCATTATTCTTATGAAGGTGTGTGCTCTACATTTTATACTATTAATGATTTGTTTATAGTATGGCATTTTAATGTTACTGCAGACCTGACTTCTTATAAAAATACATTCTAAATACTATATATCATTAGCATTGTAAAGATTGTAGTATCATTATAAACTGTGCTTCTTCTTAAACTAGGTATAAAGTAGTGTCACAATAAATTTTGTAAAGTAATGTGCTAGTGTTTTTATTACATGGTATCACTATACATTTAGTTCATTTTTACACTACGTTTGTATAACGCAAATGACGTCACATCAAAATACATGTGCTGCTGTGCAATACCATTTTACAACACAGGTATGTGATGAACTAGTGTATGTAATGTCTGAATATAACTGAAACCTCTGTATTCCCAGGCTTGACAGTATTTTAAAACAAGGTATGATCTTAAGGCATGCTTTTGTAAATCAAAAAGGGTCCATCTGAATTCACAATCAATTTATTGTAAAATAATAACAGCTTGTTTGATTTCTTGAAACCAATAAAGTTTTACTGAATAAAAACTTACCTATACATGTATTAGAACACATCATACCTAAGAAAAGAATAGGAAGAGTACTAAAATACAACAGTATGTTTACCTGTCATGACATTAATACAGCATAGGTGTTTGGCACTGTTAATTGGTCACTTACTCCAACCCCTTCTGTAACCCGAACTTTTCCCAAAGAGCCTTACCTCTTAACTGCAGTACTTTTTAGCTTGACTATTCGATAAGAATAAGTAGAGCTATTGTAGTCACCCGAGCGTCGGCGTCGGCGTAACCACTTATGTTAAAGTTTTTGTAATACCTCAAATATTTTCAAAGTCCATTGACATATGGCTTTGAAACTTTGCACACTTGTTCACCATCATGACCCCAACCTGTAGACAGGAGGAGGTAACTGTATCAAGCATTTTGACAGAATTATGCCCCTTTTTCGACTAAGAATTTATGTTAAAGTTTTTGTAATAGTTCAAATATTTTCAAAGTCCATAGACATATGGCTTTGAAACTTTGCACACTTGTTCACCATCATGACCCCAACCTGTAGACAGGAGGAGGTAACTCTATCAAGCATTTTGACAGAATTATGCCCTTTTTTCGACTTAGAATTTACGTTAAAGTTTTTGTAATAGTTCAAATATTTTCAAAGTCCATTGACATATGGCTTTGAAACTTTGCACACTTGTTCACCATCATGACCCAAACCTGTAAACAGGAGGAGGTAACTGTATCAAGCATTTTTTTTTACTATCAAGCACTAAGAATAGTCGAGCGTTGCTGTCCTACCGACAGCTCTTGTTCATGTAACATTTGCTTATATATATTAATAATAAACACATGTTACATGAAAAGGACTGCATTTTATATTGTTTGGAAAAGATTAGGGTTATCTATAGACAGGGTCGGGGGTAGTGACCAATCAACACGCCGAACCCCTGTGATACAGAGGTACAGACATAATCTAGTATTCAGCAGCAGTTTCAGGCTTACGAGATAGGATTGATATAAATCCTACAAATTATATAGATTGATGAAGGTCAGCAGCATTTTCCCTTTGTCTCAGAGTGAGAAAAATGTGACTTGAATCAGGTCCTTCTGAATACATAGCTCTACCTTCTAAGCTGTTCGACTGCTTACACATTTATTTTCCCCAAATTAGTAAACGGTTTAATACCGCTAAAAATTTCTCCACTATATTAAAATTTGTCCTCGAACTTCTTCTGGTAACAAAGAACAAAGTGACATTGAACTTGGAGCCTTATACCATCATGACCTCCACCCTGGCCATCAAATTTCACAGATACACTTGAATGCGAGTTCACACTTGACTAAGTGGGATATGGCGTATGAAGAGGAACCTGTAATATGATCCCGTTGGCACACAACTACAGAAAAAATAGAATTCAGAGTGTTGTTTTTAAGGTTCTATTTCCTTGTGCACATACATTAAGGTTACCGTATGAAGTAAATAAGAGCACCGTCAATGTGTTTTAGGTAAAACGAAGTGATAAGTATGTGATTGTAAAATATGATGAATAATGGAATGGAGAAATAGGGGAGTGACAACAGATTATGGGAGTGGATTATAGAGTATGGTCATGAAATCAGAGTGTTCCAGAAAACAAGAAAATGTCCGTATGACACTTCCTTGAATGATGATTTGTCTACATTGATAAACTGTGTTGGAGTTAATTTTTGTGTATATATAGGAATATAGTCTATATAAAGTTAAGTTTATATGTATATATAGGAAAGGTATTTCAAAGCTATTTATAGATTATATAATAAACCTTTTTATCACATAAACCACTTCGAAGGAGTTTTATAAAACCATTTATTTTAATAAAAATGATATCACACTAGTGTTATAACACTTGGACGTGACATCATTTGCGTTACTGTATATACATATATATAGCATAAAAGCGCGCTAATGGTCAGAGTATCGCATTGTAACATGGCCAGCGATCGGCTGAAAAAAGTGCAGGGAGAACCGTATGATTCAATTGGACATGAGGTGATTGGATGAAAAATGGGGTATTTCTATGTATAAAACTGATTTAGAAAGCAACACAACATTGTTTTCTGAAGAAAATGAAATATTTCATGAGTCTCTATGATAATTTTTGACTTAGATATTTGCATTAATTTTATATAAAGTGTGCAGCAAAAAATTTCAATGAACTGGGGGGGGGGGGGGGTAATCCTCTTTGAAGTCATTTTGCAAAACATTTGGTTGGCTACCCCTGTATAACAGGAACACATTATGTGTCCGGCATTTCATTCTGCTAGAATAAATCACCTCTTTAGCATGAAAACCCAATTTTAGGTAGGATTTGGGGACCATTCTTAAAACCTTTCTTTTTCTAGAAATAGATTATTATATTCGTGTAGATTCAATACTAAATTTATTGAACTCCAGAGGCTCGGATAATATGATTTTATTCAACTTGTTCAATAAATTTAGTATTAAATCTTCACTCATTAAATATGCTCTATACGCTATAATTACACATACACAGTTTTGCTTATTTATCATATACCCGTGCTGCTTTTGCGTTTCCGTAAAAAACGGTATTGAATAAATTCTCGGTTTTAGGCCATTTCTTATCGTCTGTTTGAAATTGAATAGGACCGTCTGACCCGAAAGTACTCTTCAAAATAGAAAGTTGGTATCCAATCTAAACAATGCTTCCTAAATTGTTATATGTGAATATCTAGGTATAAGATCGTTATGTTTTGAAAAATTAATTTCGAAAAGTAAAATGTGTATCAAAAAATGAGACAGTACAAGCACTAAGAACGAAAAGTAATTGTATGGGATTTTTTTCGAATTTGCAACATGTTTTCGCGACATGTAAGCCCATGCAAATTTAGTTTTCACTTAATGATATTTGATTTTAATGGAGAAATACAACACAATTGCCCTATGTTAGACTTTTACAAAGGAAAACCCGTCGGAAAAATGTCTTATCATAAGCATTTCACATGACATAGAAAAACCATAACCTGGAAACGCCAAAAATAGCAAAATTAAAAATGTTGCAGACCAAGTAAGTTTCCAGTCAAATAAATAGTATGGGTCCGTAACAAGTAAGTTTCCAGTCAAATAAATAGTATGGGTCCGTAATCCTAGCTAAAAGTCCTACCCGTTTGTAAGTCATGAATGGCTAGCCTATATGCACTGTTGAAGATAGCCATACTGCAAAAAATAATTTTAACATATATTGTGGACAGTAACTTTTTCAATTTGAAAGTTTTAAACAATATTATCACTGTAATTTTTTACTTTACTGCAAATGATATGAAAAATATGCATACATGTATATATATTTTTTAGGACAGACATATCATTAAGATGGCAGCGTAAAAAAGAGCACAGCTACACTGTAATAATGACTGATCCAGCAAGTTGTAGCACAAGTATTGACTTGGGCACCATAACAACTGTAGTGTCATCACTTCAGAGAGTAGTGGGAGATTTTTATGGTCCACAGTGCACACAAACCCTGCTTACATCACAAACAGGTATCGCATGTTTTCATCATAATGTATTTTAGTGAAACATAAAAATAGCTTAAAATCAAAAACAAATATTTTTTTTCTATATATATTAACAGGTTAAATACAGTTTTTGTTAAAATTTTGAATAATTTTTCAAATATGTACTTACCTCTGTACAGGACAATACTGACTATCTAAAATGAATGTTTTGAAGCAGTTTTCTAATTAAAAAGTTACGGTGTACTTAAACACATTTAAAAGTTTACCAAATTCATATAAATCATTGTCAAAGTCTGTTCTATTTTCATATTATTCAGTGATCTCGTGATTTATTTATGGAAAGAAAATGCTAAAACAATTAATTTAACCAGTTGAGTTATCTTTGTGTTGAGGTTGTCTCCTATCCGTATGTGTTTTATGCAAAACATTACAGTAATTACATTGTAGTAATCTTTTTATGTTCATTTTCTTTCAATGCTTTAAACAGGGAAAATGATATTTCTACATATCTTGACATGTTACAGGTAATATCTAGTGATATTTACTACCTTATTCTTTCCTACCTTGTATTTTAGTCATATCTTTAAACTTTTTCAATATTTCAGGAAAGGCAGTGGTGACCAGCGATGGTTTATCTATAGTTGAAGCTTTACAAGCAGCTCATCCAATAACTGAGTTGGTTTTTAAATCCTTGAAAAGCTGCCATGCTGTTACATTAGATGGTTGTAAAACTTTCCTGATCTACCTCTCAAATTTTCTTGTCCATTTACATGATGAAATCAGTCGTGGTAGTTTCTGTCACTCGGGTATGAATATAGCAACTAATAAAGAGGCTGTGCAAAAACAAGGAATAGTTCTTGCAAGGAATTATGTAAGGCAGGTAAAACAAAATGTTCTTCCGCAGATTTGCCAGGCATTACAATTACATAGTCATGCCCTTTCTAGCAGCATGATACAGAAGATGGGGAGAGAAGCTATTATTAAATGTTTACTTTGGACTACATTAATGCCACATTATAGTCTGAAACTAAGCAATCACTTTGCCCAAGTCCTGGTTTTAAGTTTACCAGAGAAGTGTGAGAATAGGAAATTTAAAGATACCACCAATTTTCTTGTGGACAATTTTTTCGATGTAAATATCAAAGTTCCAAACCGACCATATGGAGATAGTACCCATATTGAGCCTATGTTACTTGATAGAGATTTTACTCTGAAACATGATAACCTGTTTACAGCAAGTCAGCTGTCAGTATTGATATTTAAAGGTAATATTGATGGTATTGAAAGTGATGATGATTCTCAAGAAACTATCCTTGTGAAAGAATCAGGACAAATTGTGAACCTTATACATGCAAGGAGGAAGATGGTGAATCAGTTTGCTCACAACTGTCAGTGTCAGAACATAGATCTTCTTATTTGTACCCAAGGAGTACCAAGGTATTCTTTGGATATTTTCAGACAGATGAATGTGTCTGTAATCGCTAATGTTTTAGAAAGAGATGCAGAAATACTTGAAATGCTGACAGGAAAACTTTCAATAAATACTGTTAAAGATACTGTAAATGAAAGTAACATAATTTCCCTAAATGGAATAAGTGAACTTATTATAGGTGGTAAAAAATATGTGCAGTTAAAATTGGACAATATAAGATACCCAATCAAACACCTTATCATATGTGCACCTACTATTGGATTATGCGATCAGTTAGCAATAAACCTTCAGAAAGGATTGAATGCTTTAAAAATGTGCCTGAATGCAGGAGAACTTGAAAATAAAATGTCATACATAAGAAATTCATCAAGTTCAGAACAAAATGAAAAAGAAAGTGTAGAGAATAGATCGACTGATATGACTAGAGAGAATTGTAATGACTTTTCTGACCAGGAAGTCAAGTCTGATCTAGAAATTGACAAGAAATCAGGCACTGATTATTCTTATAACAATTATGGAAATATGCAGCATCATAGTGGTCCACAAATCACTTCAGTGACAGAACAGTTTAACATTGTTGAAGGTGGTGGTGCTTTTGAAATTCTTTTTCACAAATTACTTCAGGACTTCACTACTTCTTGTACAGATCCAAACCTTTCTCTTATGTGTGAAATACTTGAGAAAACTATGATTTCATTGGTTAAGACATTATATGACAATACAAGCATCCAATCAGAAAGCTCAAGAGGGTTTCTTGTAATAAAGACTATTCTTCAGGTGAAAAGAAATGGAGATCTATGGGGTCTGAATAGAAGAGGCATTCCAGGTTGTATGTCTGAACAGGGAGTTATAGAACCGCTGATGAGTAAAATTCATGTTTTACACTGTGTGTTGAATTTGGTTGAGCAGTTACTGGGAATAGATCAAATTGTCAGTGTGAGGAAATTGGAGTGCACAAAGGATGATACTGAATAATTTTTTTTTAAATAAAAAATATATTGCAACATTACAATACAACTTTTTATATGTCCCTTAAATTGATAATTTGGGAGCTGGACAAGAACATTACACAAGTTCAGCAGGCAAAGGGTTAAAATACAGCACATCAATTCATTATTAAGATATTTTTTCTATGTAAATGTCTTTGAATTGCAGATTTTACAGTAACAACACATGTATGGTCTATACCTCAATAATGCTGATTAAATTTTGAAGTATTTTGACTTTCATTTCCTCATCATAATATTTACAATTATGCTGAGTTACATGTCAACAGTTGTAAAATTATAATAGTTCAAAATTAAAGGACAAGAGACAGAATGATGATATCACTTCAATATTCCCCCTATCCTCTCTATTATCAGGGATTGTTAATTTGTAATACAGCCAACATAATGATTGTATGCCTTGCTATTGAATGAAGTAACATGATGAAAAAAATATATATCTATCATGATATACATTAATTTAATTATAATAATATATCTTACTGTCTTAAGATATATACAACATTGAAAATGTTAACAGAAATTTTAATTATTAGAACTCCGCAAGGCGGATGTGTGGCCTTGTGAATAGTATAGCTGTCACTTAGCCTAGTTTTCAAGTCAATAGCTTTTATTGTTTAGGAGAAATGGCCCGGACAAAAAGAAAGAGAAAATTAACAAAGGGCAATTACTAAAAAAAAGAAGTGCAGAGTACCGGTTCTTTTGCACTGCACTATTTCTTAACGAGATCTATCATCCTATGAAGTTTCAAGTCCATAGCTTTTTATAGTTACTGAGAATTGGCCCAGACAAAATTAAAGTATGAAAATCAAAAAATGGGCAATACCTCAAAAATTAAGAAATGCAGAGTACCTGTTCTTGTGCACTGCACTTTCTCTCTTAATGAGATCTATCATCCTATGAAGTTTCAAGTGCATAGCTTTTATAGTTTAGGAGAAATGAAAAGAGCAATAACTCAAAAATTAAGAAGTGCAGAGTAAAGATTTTTTACTTCTATGGGAAATTGAAAGAAGCATGCATACCAAGTTTGGGGTCATTCCGACTTATAGTGACTGAGTTATGCTCTGGACAAGCCTTAGGGGATGATATTTATTTTCTGCATTTCCAAGAAAACTTTTTTTCATTATATTAGATCCGCACAAGGAATCAAATTTCTTTTTTGTACATCAAATTGTATTTTTTTTATCAGAAGTAACTGGGCATTATAGATAAACAATTCAAATTTTTTTTTTACTTTTTATTCTTTTACATGATTTCCCAGATCATTTTTTTCATATAAATATCAAATGTGCACCATTTTATTTCATTAATACATGTATTTAGGACAGTTTACAAATAGTCTCTTTAAACACTTTGGGAAATTGATTGATCTGTTACAATCGAGGTTAGTCATGGTAATTGTAGGGATTAATTCAGTATCAATATGCTTAGCCTAAGATGTAAGCAATATAAATGCGGGTCAACCTTAATGCAAGTTGCACTGCAAGCACATCATGGTCTGTACAGGCTCAAACAAGAACTATCTGAGGACAGTAAGGCTTGACTATTCAAAAAAGTTGTCACAAGGGTGTTTTAATGAGTATAATAATGCTTACCTATGAATACATAAAATTGACTAAAAAGGTACAAAGGCTTGTTATTAAGATGTTATTATTATGAATGCATAAAATTGTCTATGAAGATAACAGCTTACAAGCAAAACTTTACCATTAATTTCTAAGTCGAAAAAGGGGAGAATAATCAGCCTAAATGCAAGATAGAATTATGGATCTTGGTCAATGATCTACAATTATGACCCTTAATGCATATGTGAAGTTTTAAATAAATATCTTAAATAGTTATTGAGATATGTAAAACTTGCATGTAAACATTGACCAAGAGACTAAGTAGAAAAGGGGGAGATAAATCAGCCTAAATGCAAGATAGAGTTATGGAACTTGGTCAGAAATATACAATTATGACCCTTCATGCATATGAGAAGTTTCAAATCAAAATCTCTGATAGTTATTGAGATATTTGACTTAACAAAAGACTTTAACCAGAATTTGTAAGTTAAAAAGGGGCATAATTCTATAAATATTGTAGGCAGAGTTATCCAACTTGTCAATCTGATGTACATTGTTACTATAAATAAGTATTGTAAGTTTCAATTGAATATCTCAAGCAATAATTAGATATTTGACTTCACTAAAGACTTTAACCAACACCGACGCCGGAACGACTACTAGCTCTCATATTCTTCGAATAGTCGAGCTAAAAATAAATAATTTCTTTAATGTGTATTAAGCTACATCTTTGCTACCTTGAGCAAACAAATTTTTTGTTTGAATATGGTATTATTCCTGCTAAGTGAATTATGCAGGAGGTTCAAAACCTACTCTACTTAAAATATCAGCATTTTTTTTCTGGAACATTTTATTCTGTTTACACAGTTTTCATGTGTGTTGAATAACAGAAACATTCTTTGTTACAACTCTTTCCAGAATTTGTCATAAAATTATGTAAACCGTATAATTTTACCATTTTTAAATCTTATAAAAATATTTCATTTGAGATGGTTTTAAATCCTTCAATTCAAAATAAGAAAGCGTCTTTACCAATTTATTTCTTTTCAGTAAATGCATATCACGACTTTCACTGATGCTTAATTCTTGTTATCTATGAAAAAAATATGAAATATTGCAAATGCATGTAAAATAATTCTCAGTTTTTCAAAACAAGAGGGCCATGATGGCCCTGAAATCGCTCACCTGTATATAGGCCCCCGGGGCGGGGCCAGTTTAAACCCCAGGGCTTTTATTTGAACAAACTTGGTAGACACCCATTAGAAGATGTTTCATGCTAAACATCTAAGGTCTAGCTGGTCAAGTTTTCTCTTTACACATATACATGTAGTTAAAAACAATGACACACCTGGGGCAGGGCCAATTTTGACCCAAGGGCTTTTATTTGAACAATCTTTGTAGACACTTACTAGAAAATGTTTCATGCTTAATATCTCAACTCTAGCTATTCAGGTTCTTTCAAAGAAGATTTTTAAGTTTTTGCTATACACATATAAGGACAATGAATGACCCCCGGGGCAGGGCCAATTTTGACCCCAGGGCTTTTATTTGAACAAACTTGGTAGACACTCACTAGAAGAGGTTTCATGCTCAGTATCTAAACTCTAGCTATTTGGTTTTTTTCAAAGAAGATTTTTTAAGTTTTGCTATACACATATAAGGAAAATCAATGACCCCGGGGCGGGGCCAATTTTGACCCCAGGGCTCTTATTTGAACAAACTTGGTAGACATCCATTAGAACATTTTTCATGCTAAATATCTTAGCTCTAGCTCTTTCGGTTCTTTAAAAGAAGATTTTTCAAGTTTTTACTATATGCATATAGGGAAAATCAATGACCCCCTGGGGCGGGGCCAATTTTGACCCCAGGGCTTTTATTTGAAGAAACTTGTTAGACACTCACTAGAAGATGTTTCATGCCAAATATCTAAGCTCTAGCTCTTTGGGGTTTTTAGAAGAAGATATTTAAAGTTTTTTCTTTTGGTTGCCATGGCAACCAGAGTTCTGCATGGAATTAAATTCTTTGAACAATTTTCAAAGGTGACCACCAAAGGAACATTCCATTTCCTGTGAAGTTTGGATGAAATTGGCTTAGTGGTTTATGAGGAGATGTCATTTAAAGTAAAAGTTTACGGATGCCGGACGGACGCCGGACGAAAAGCGATCACAAAAGCTCAGCCTGTCACTTTGTGACAGGTGAGCTAAAAATACTATAAACACCTAGAACACATATTTTGATTCAGACTAAATCATAACACTTAAACAGTATTATAATCTTTGGCAAGACATCATTAACAGACAAATGTTAAAAAATATAGGCAAAAATGTAGACCATATCTGTCTATATTTGTAATATATCCTACCTTACATTTTTTAATTAAATTTCTAAAGTCAGATGTTGTATGTTATTTATATACATGTATCATAATAAATATTTAAAATTAAAAGTACACTTTCAAGTAAAGTAAATATTTAGGGAATGACATTGTATTTATTACAAAATATCTTACATGTATAAGTTTATTACATGTACTAATATATCAACAACTAATCCGATCTTTTGTTTAAAGTTAAGTTAGTAACGGTACATTTGTAAATACTGTAACATTTATAACTTATTCTCCAAGCATCTATATCAGAGTCACAAGCACTTGTGTCAGTCGAGCTATGTCCATTGTTCAATATTACATGCCAAAATGTTTTCCTGTCAAAGCTACAGCTACATCCAGCACAAAAAAATACTTCTGTCAATTTTTGTGTCTTTTACAGAGGGTACTGAAATCTATAAGCAGACATCATTTTTGTTTGGGAGTAGAATCTCATGTCTGTATATCATCACTGTATCATAATGTGTTCTGCTTGTACAATTACTGTCATCTATTCATGTCACAATTCCATCATCTATTGAGATTAACATCAACTCCCACAGCTTCTGACACATTTGAAAATCCATCTTTCCTAAAATGTAAAATATATGGGATGTGAAGCACAATTGCAATAACCTTGAATAACTAGCTCATAGGCTATCCAATTTTAATCTTATTTTACAAGGTAGACTAAAGATATATTTCAATTATTAATATAAGAGTATATTGATCTTGAACTTGTATTTGGCATGAATGGATTTTCCAGGCTAGGTTCTTTTCTAGTCAGGAAGTGCTGAGAGTGATCAACTTGAGTAAAAACAATGTATCAAATATAAGGAAGTACAGATCAAGATACTCTTATAATGACCCTTTTACTATATACCACCTCATATCTAAACTATATATTCAACCATAACATAATATTTAATCAACATAAAATACTAAATCAACATAAAGTTATAAACATGATACTAAAATCTTTATTGCCTAGACTAGACCCTAAATATACATATGTATGTAATTTTCCATGAAATATTTCAGGCACCAAAACGTAGAACCATACTCTCTCTGTAGTAAGGACCCTTAAACTGCTGAATTTCTTATATAGGCTGGCCTGGCCATGTATTGGCAGCAAATGATTATCACATTCTTTGTATGTTTGTTTTTTTGAGTTCTAGGTCACACCAACACATTACAGGTTACATTGTGAGTTTCCAGTTTTAATGGTGGAGGATGACCTCAAATGCATCTCTTTGCATTATTATGTAAGGTAGAAAAATAGTTTCCTCACATAAAAAAAATCCAAAGTCCCTAGTGGGCTTTGAACCTATACCAATGTGAGGCATGAGTAAAGTCAAACAGAAAATGATATACCCAACTTACTCTAATAATTCTCCTAGCTCTCTTTTAATACGACTAACAACTGGAGGTCCCTGGTAAACTAAAGCACTATAAAGTTGAACTAATGATGCTCCGGCACGGATTTTATCATAGGCATCTTGACCCGAGGCCACACCTCCAACACCTATTATTGGTAGTTTACCTGTAATATAATTTCATATTGTAGTAAAACCTGGTTTCTGAATGTAACTTTTTATATGTTCTGTAATTCATTAACTTATTTTAAGACCTGATGCTAAAACTGCATGAAACTTAAAATTATAGCCCCAAAAACTCAGTTCATTCTAGATGACGTATCAGAGTAGGTATCTGTGTACTTAAATTATTCAGAGCTAGCCAATATTACAAACTTGTAAATGAGTCACCTTTACACATAAATTAGGAACATTTACACCATAGACAATTTTCTTCTGGAAAAGGTTATGCAAATAATGCCTGCCAACCAATCATGGTTGGCAGTGGTCACTATTTAGTCAATACACATTCATTATATATCCCAAAATTTCCCCTTCAAATTGAGAATGGTTAAGAGCATTAAAGTCATTTAGAGGGGTAAGGGTTAAAATTGTCAGTACTAAATCAGTGTCAGCTTTCTCTTATGATTAACTTTGTCACATTTTCTGAAGTGTTTCAAGTAGCACTTAAATCAACATCATTTTCGTCACACTGGCAATGACAAAATTTAATGAGTTTATTATTCACAATAAGTCACTGTAAGTAAACAAAAATTGAAATAATTAATATATTTGTCAATTCACACTAAATTAGAATTAAAAGGTATAAAAACAATGGCCATCAGTGATGACATGCGTCCCCTCCTGATAGCCAACAATCACTGCCCACAACTCGGCTAAAAATCCTTCAACCAGAAAAACTCGTGAAATATGTGCAAGTACTTGAGCTATGAATCAATCCTGTAAAGTTTCATTAAAATTGCATTACTGATATAAGAGAAAATACTGTAGTCCAGACAAATTTAAAAAATCAAAATCATTAAAGGGACAGTAGTCTGACAATGAACATTAAATAAAAAAGTTGATGAGATGCATAACTAGACATAGAATTGAACATTCCTGTTAAGTTTTAATGAAAATGCACCAGTAGTGGTCCAAACAAGCAGCTGGCAACACAAAAAAACACCTTTTTTATTGAAGGGCCATAACTCTGCCAAAAATCATTCAAGTGAAAAACCAGTTTTATATGCTCAAGTACTTGAGCTACAAATCAATCCTTTAAAGTTTCAATGAAATTGCATAAGTGGTATAAGATGAGAATTTCAGACAAACTTTATTACCACCTTTTTACTCAAGGGCCATAACTCTGCCAAAAATAATTCATGAAGAAAACCTGTGTAATATGCCCAAGTACTTGAGCTACCAATCAATCATATAAAGTTTCAATAAATTGCATTGCATTTGTAGTACATGTATAAGAGGATAAGACCAGACAAACTTTGAAAATAAAAATAATTAAAGAGCCATAATTTGGACAAAAATCACTGAATCGGAAAATGCTGATGAATATGAAGAAATTGTACAAGTAGTTTATGAGGAGTAGTCCAGGCAGAGGGACAAACAGAGGAGAAAAGATCCCTTTATGAACTGCCACTATCATGGCGTGAATACCCCCGCATACCACTTTGTCAGAATCAACAGTGGCCATTTAGAGCTCAAGGACAACCTCCCTGCCAAATCTGAGGTTACTAAGCCAGTGCATTACTAAGTTATGTATTCTACATGCTTCAAATGTGAAAATGTCAAAATCAATACACTGCGGACAGGCATTCTTTAGCAATTGAGAAGAAAAGCTTTTTTTTGTCAAGGTCCCTGTGACCTTGACCTTTGACCCAGTGACCTCAAAATCAAAAGGGGTCACCTTATGGTCATGATCAACATCCATGCCAAATATGAAGACTATGGGTCAAAGGAATCTTAAGTTAATGGGTGGACAAACTTTTTGAAGTCAAAGTCCCTGTGACCTTGACCTTTGATCCAGTGACTTCAAAATCAAAAGGGGTCATCTACTAATCATGACTAACCTCCATTCCAAATATGAAGACTGTGGGTCAAAGGAATCTAAAGTTATTGGGCAGACAAGCTTTTAATAGTCAAGGCCCCTGTGACCTTGACCTTTGACCTGGTGACCTCAAAGTCAATAGGGGTCATCTACTAATCATGACTGACCTCCATGCCAAATATGAAGACTGTGGGTCAAAGGAATCTTAAGTTATTGGGCAGAAAGCTTTTTGAAGTCAAGGCCCCTGTGACCTTGACCTTTGACCTGGTGACTTCAAAGTCAATAGGAGTCATCCCTAATCATGACTAACCTCCATGCCAAATATGAAGACTGTGGGTCAAAGGAATCTTAAGTTATTGAGCGGGCAAGCTTTTTGAAGTCAAGGCCCCTGTGACCTTGACCTTTGACCTGGTGACCTCAAAGTCAATAGGGGTACTCTACTAATCATGACTAACCTCAATGCCAAATATGAAGACTATAGGTCAAAGCAATCTGAAGTTATTGGGCGGACAAGCCTTTTTGAAGTCAAGGCCCCTGTGACCTTTGACCTGGTGACCTCAAAATCATTAAGGGTCATCTACTAATCATGACTAACCTCCATGCCAAATATGAAGACTAAGGGTCAAAGGAATCTTAAGTTATTGGGCGGACAAGCTTTTTGAAGTCAAGGCCCCTGTGACCTTGACCTTTGACCTGGTGACCTCAAAATCAATAGGGGTTATCTACTAATCATGACTAACCTCCATGCCAAATATGAAGACTAAGAGCCAAAGGAATCTTAAGTTATTGGGCGGACAAGAGAAAACCGACGGACAGCCGGCCGGCCGGACGGACAACCTGATTCCAGTATACCCCCCTTACAACTTTGTTGTGCGGGGGTATAATAATGGTAAATGCAGTTCTCTAGATAGATATTCAAATGTATTGAATTCAGTGCATGTTCTACTTCATGGGAAATAGTGGCAGGGCCAATGGAGGTAAAAATTTTATATTAAAGGGGAGAATAGGGGAGAGCTAGAAACAAAGAAAACAGGTCACTTTATATTAAATTGTATTAACTTTATATTAAATAATCAATTCAAAGATATCTCTATATCTTTTCAAAAGAAAATGTATAGTGGAGGGGAATTATTTTTAGAAACAGTAAAAAATATATTCTTTAGGGAGAAGGGAAATCAATGGGCATTAATTAATTAATTAACTGGCATTCATAGAGTAAATAAATATGTCGGAACCATATACCATTGGGTCTTTCAATAAGTTTATTTTATACCTTTTAAGTTTTCATATAGACATATAAGCAAGATTAAAACTATTCTATAGATTTTTTTTAAAACTTGGCATGTTGTTAGAATATGAAAACAGAAACTGAATCAGAATTTTCTTCTTATTTGAGGTAAATTTAAAGGGCAGATAAATTATACATACGTAAATGATTTCTTGTTTTTACTTCCGGATAATGTTTTTCTTTTCATTGTTGAATACAATACATAATTACATGCAATTCCTTTTATGGTTTCTGTTAATTCTTTTCAATGAAAATATAGGTACTTTTAAATTTCTAAAACAAAGGCCATTTTTTAAGAAAAAAAAATGCACAGGTTAAGAGTAGAAGTGGGAAAAAAAACTATCCACTCAAAATTTGGTCTTGAAATTTTGCAAAATTACTAAGACGAAGGTAAGCTTCATGAAAATAAGAAGAAAAAATGAGAATGGTGATCCCAATTGTTTTCCTTATAAAATTTTTCTGTTGTCATATTATAATAACATGCCAAGTATAAAAAATTCTATTGAACAGTTTTAATTTTACCTATATGTCGATACGAAAACTCCAGAAAACGTCTTTAAAGGTATTTTAATTGATAGATCCCTACATGACACTGCAATCTGTCTAATTTAAATGTCAGTAAAATAGAAATTTCACCACCATGTATTTCTTAACAAAAGAGCATATTCGATGGCTTAACGCAATAAGGGCGTAACTACATTTTTGAAAATTTTACAGTAGAGGAAAAAAACTAACTCATTTTCTTGTTTCTGTATATTCCCATTACATGTATATCACTTGGTTTTGTAATATGAAAATATATATTCTAAATATAACTTATAACAACATCAAAATAAATCATGTAAAAAACACTTTATTTGCAATTTTATTACTTATGCCCTTGTTGCATAACTTTTACATATTATTTGAGAGATAATAATTATTATATGCAATAAGGATATAAGTATACTTATGCCCATATTGCAGTAAGATGCACATTAAACATGGCTATATTTTGTTATGCAATATGGTACCATGTCTACATATAATTCAATTACAATAGGATATTTAATTTTCTCAAAGATTTTCCAAGAAATACTTAAAAGTCTACACTAATGTTTTTGCAATTCTACAATGTGACAGCGAATTTTATACCTCCTGACTTTAATATTGACCTTTATTATACAATCCATGCCTCACTTATTTTTTATTCAATATATTGAAATATATTGATTTAAATTCTTATTTATTCTTATTGGAATTAGTTTAGCATACCATTAAATTAATTAAGTGCTTAAGGTGACAACAGACACTTTTCGTGGTACTCACATAAATGTCATTTAAACCAACTTATTTTAGTAATAATTGTTATTTATTTAATCTTTGTGCATTAAATGTCGTTGATCATCATAAAAAATAACATATTTGAAAAAAATGCCTTTGTAAATGATTGATTTTTAATAAAAATCCAAAAATTTTAAATCGTCATATCAAAGTCATTTTTTATTTTTTTGTCATCAAACTTTTGGAAAATAAACATACTTATAATATCTGGGGAACCGTGTCTCAAATTTTTTCTATCTTTTCTCAAAAAAATATTACGTAACGTCAAACATTTTATGCAACTTTTTTCACCATACATATTACGTAATTAAAGATAATTAAGCCACTGATAGAGCAAACAAAAATCCCTGACACGGTTCCCTCCGTAAATGAATTCCCTTTCATGTGCTTTAAACCGCATGTTAATTGCTTGATTATTAAACAAGAGCTGTCCGTAAGACAGCGCGCTCGACTTTTTTATTGCTTGCCAATAAAAAAAGTTTTTGCAGTAAAAGGCAATACAAGAATCTCTGTAT